CCTCCTCCTCCTCCTCCCTGCGCTTCCCTCTTCTCTCAATTTCCTCCTCTTCCAAATGCTCCGACTCACCGAACCCTGCCCATAGTTCTTTTTTTATGTGTATAAGAGACAGGAGAGAGAGAGAGAGAGAGAGAGAGAGAGAGAGAGAGAGAGAGAGATGTCGTCGGAGAAACCAGAGGCAGCGAAGGAAGTGAAGAAAAGACGGCGTCCGAGAAGGCGAAAGCAGCGAACGATCAGACAGCGCAGCAGACACACGAGCCCAAAAACAGCGCCGTCGTGTCCTTTCGAACGTCTGCGCGCCGTTGACCATCCCCTTTGAAATTGGCCAAAACCCACGTCCGACTTCTCGTGGGACTAGCCATCACACCAACGCCTCCGCCTCTAACTTCGCCTGGGACTAGCCGCCTTCCTTTTTCTTTTTTGGGTTGGCTTCCACCTGCGACCGGTCCTTCCATTTTTCAAAAGTCCCGGTTATACCACAGCTAGCTGTAGGTAGTCCGCAATTTTGGCAAGGACCGGTCCCCCAAATTTTTTTGCCCCCTAAGAACCCACTTTGCGTCCTGGTCGCCCGCCGCCAAAAATGCGACACCTTGACACAGACGCCGAAGCACACTATACCGCAGCCTTAGGGCTGCGAATACAGGGGACCCCTGCAAGCATAGCTACCTCTCAAATTGCTATCTGGTAAAGAAATGAATGATTTTGGTTAGGAAAGAAAAAACAAAAAAAGAGACCCCTACAAGGGGGCTCGCTCAACTGCACAACATTCTGAATGTATCTCGAGCTTCTAGCTGTCCGCATACATAATTATTATCAGTGCAAATGTACTCGGTCTGAAATACCATCTAGATACATGTAGTCTGTTGAGTAGTGGAGCGAGGTCCAGGAACTGCGGGGCCGGCTGGTCGAGGGGTTGCGCTTCGAACGGATCACCATCCAGCCACTCTGCTTGCGCTGGACAGCAATTGATATGTAAATTTATCCAAACCCATATGCAACCGCGCCGCTCGCGCGCGCGCGTCAGTGACTGTATTCCGCGCGCTGGGCGCTGCGTGCGCACGCTGCCCTTGGCCGCCGGGTGCCGCCCACTCCAAAGTGCGCTTCCCGCTTTTACAGATCGTCGTCATTCCCCCATGCCACCCCCAAAACTGTCATTCATTTTTTTTTATTTTTTTTTGAATTTGGACCATTTCTCGATTGATGCGTGTCATCCTTGCGCAGGGGCCATGCTAATCTTCATTCTCTGTATCGTTCCAATTGGATGTCCCGAAGGACTCAGTCATTTTTTTCGTTTCTCATTTCTCCCGCGGAAGAGGCGGACGATAGAGCGCAGCACTACGGCCGCCGGTAGTGCGCTTGGTAGGGGGAGTCTTCCGTCTGGGCGGAGCGGATCACATCGGCAGATTGCCAATTCGGCGGAGTTGGCGGGCAAGTAGGCAACGAGGTCGTGGAGGCGGAAGAGGCGACGAAGAGAGTGCGAGCGAGTGGGAGAGAAGGGGAGAGAGAGAGAGAGGAAGAAGACGATGGCGTGCACTACCGCAAGAACGGTGGCGACGGCTGCCATAGCTTCTTCCTCTCTGGCGGCGGCGGCGGGTACCGGTCGGAAGGAGCAGGTCTCTGCGACCGGTCCGTCGTCGAAGGCGCAGTTTTCGTCTTGGTCTGGTCTGAGAACATACGGCGGGGCGCTTGGCCACGTGTCTATGACGGAGAGAGGCAGCCATAGCCACGCCAGGAGTAAGCACGAATGCGGCGCAGCTCGCGCCATGGCGGTCACAGTGAAGAAGCACGTCACTACCAAGTCCGAAGAAATCTTCGAAGCCGCCAAGGTGCGAACTGAGAGGACCGCTTTTCGGAAAACTCAATGGTCGCCCTACGCCATAGCCTTTGTTTCCTCCTCCTCCTCCTCCCCTTCCCCATCCTCCTCCTTCTCCTCCTCCTCCTCCTCCCTGCGCTTCCCTCTTCTCTCAATTTCCTCCTCTTCCAAATGCTCCGACTCACCGAACCCTGCCCATAGTTCTTTTTTTNCCTCCTCCTCCTCCCTGCGCTTCCCTCTTCTCTCAATTTCCTCCTCTTCCAAATGCTCCGACTCACCGAACCCTGCCCATAGTTCTTTTTTTTTTTTTTTTTTTTTTTTTTTTTTTTTTTTTTCCCTGTACGTGTTTGCTTGCGTCTTCGTGATCTCCTACAGACTTCACCTGAATAAAGCGCCCGGCGGTCATTAATGCTGTATTTGGGACAACTTTCAGTCCAAAATACAAATGTAATTACCGGGCATTCTATTCGGCTGAAGACGGTAGTTTTCCGCAACCCCATCTACATTGCATTTGGGGTTTTTCGTCTTACTTATCAACTCCTCCTCCTCCTCCTCCTCCTCCTCCTCCTCGTACACTCCTGATACCGGTTGTCTATGGGTCTTCTTCTTCTTCTTCTTCTTCTTCGTCGTCGTCGTCGTCGTCGTCGCTTCCTCCTCCTCGTCTATCTCCACAGCTGCCTGTGAAGTGACTGGAGGCGCAGTTAGCCGGCGGATTGTTCGAGGGTCATTAAGGTCTGATCTGGCATTTTTAATTGGGGAACCACTTTCGGACTGAAGTCTGACCGCGCCCTAGGTGCAGGATTTATTTATTTTTATTATTATTATTTTTTCTGGAAAAGTGCAAGGTTCCGTCACACTACGGCGCAATAATTTCTGCTCAGTTTTACGTAAGAATGTCTGGCGTTGGTCTCCGTCCTTTCAGCCGTTTCAGCCATGGAACCAACGAGACGAGGCCGCGTGTCCCTTTCGTCTTCTTTTTTATTTTTTTTCCAACCCGTTTTCATTTGACCTCCATCCCTTCCTGTTCTTTTGTTTTCTTTCTGTTCTGCTTGTACCAGCCGTCTCGCGTTTTGTTCCAGGTTCATCTGGTAAGGGTCCAGCCGACCCTGGCGGACAGAACCAGATGGTTTGAATACACTGGCCAGTGGCCAGCCTTCGAAAAAAAAAAAAAAAGGAACCAGATAGCCCAATGTTGACCACTGGACCGGTGGACAGCAGGCGTTCATCACCACTCGTTCCTGCGGGACTGCTCTGCACCATACTCACACTAGCACTTTCCTAAATGTATTTGACTGCAATTAGCGCCCAACGTGGATGAATCTGACCGCAATCACGTCAGGTGCTTAGTACAAAAAGTCCTAGTGTGAGTATGCCGGCAAAGGTGCTTCTAGCAGATTTTCAAACTCGACGGTTCAAAAAAAAAAAACAAAAAAACTCAAGAGTTCCTAAGTCAATTTGCACACTCGGAGGTTGATACTCGAATTATTCAACGGTATTTGACTGCAATTACGGCGCAACGTGGATGAATCTGACCGCAATCACGTCAGGTGCTTAGTACAAAAAGTCCTAGACTAAGTGTGAGTATGCCGGCAGAGGTGCTTCTAGCAGATTTTCAAACTCGACGGTTCAAACTCAAGAGTTTCTAAGTCAATTTGCACACTCGGAGGTTCGTACTCGAATTATTCAACGAAGAAGCCCACTGGGTAGGGGTTGGGAAGTTTGCTCAAGGAGTGAAGCAGGCTGAATTTTGATGAAAAAAAAAAAAAAGAATTGAAAGCAGCGAACAAATAATGGAAAACAGACCTGAGTTCGAATCCAGATGAACTACCGGTAGCTGAATGAATTGCCAGGGCAGGTGAGCTCGACAATGACAATGATATCTCAAAGCCGTGAAAAGAAAAAAACGAAAAGAGAAGAAGAATGTAGGTGTTTCTCCCAAGCAGCGTCGGTATCTGGACTTTGGCGCGATGAAATTGATTGCACCTCACGGTCCTTCAGGGCATTCATTCGTTTTTTCTTTGGCATATGCATTCTCATCGTCCCTTTAAGATATGGATAGAGCTTGCGTAATTATGTTTTTTTTGATATAACAAAAGGAGGACTTTTCTGTATGTATCCGGACCATAATTACGACCAGATTGAGTTGTGAAAGTTCCAGAGTGGGGGCGTATTCACACCAGCTCTATATCTTAAAAATGTGTCTGACCGCATTTACGAAGTGACCTGGATGCACCTGACCCCAATTAGGTCCATAAATAAGTAAAAAAGTCGTATTGTGAGTATGCCCCGAGCATGCCGTAAGAGTGAGGTCCCCGGGAGGGAATTAAATTTAATGCGGATTAGATTTTTCAAAATGCGAGGATTAATTTGATTGCTCGTCCGTTTGGAAAGGGAGAGGAAAACGTACTKCTGATTTKTTCCTCCGCTTTTCTTTTTTTGGTCCAAAAAGGGSAAAAAGAAAAACCACYCCCCCCCYTTCCCCCCCCCCCCCCCCCCCCCCCCAAAAAAAAAAGTCGAAAAACTCAACTCCTTTTAACGAAAAAAACCTCCTGATTTGGTGGGGAAATCGGTAAAAGAATGCTGCTCTCGTCAGACGGAATGCAGAGCGCTCCGAACTTTTTTTTTGAAATCCTTTTTGATGGAATCACTCTGGAAAATATAATTTTTATTTAAGAAATTAAAACGAAAAAAAAAAAGAATTTTGTCATTGTTTGAAGTTTGAACCACTCAGGTATAATTTCAGGTGTTTCAGAATACAAGTATCATTCTATGCTGTTCATCTGGGTGCATCTGTATTCGAACTTGGGCCTGTATTTCAACAGTTCATGGCTGTACCAACTGGCCGGAAGTAAGAACGGGGGCCAAGTCCCACTTAACCGAATCCTCAGCTTCTGACCGTAGATTCCAAAGATCAACGTTCAGAAATGAAGACTTGGCGTAAGTGGGACTTGGGCCCGGGAGTGGGTTTACGGTGAGGAATGGAGTTGCAAAGGGAGGTTGGCTGACCGAACCCCCCGAAGGTGACAGCTTGGCGGCTTTCGAAACGTGGCGTCGGGGACGCCCAACCTGTATATGCTCTTTTGGAATACCATCGGAACGCTTTGTACTTTGTCTCATATGCGTAACATGTTGACGTGTGTTTACGTATATCTCAATTCTATGCACTGTACCGACTGAGCTAGGCCCGTTGGTACCAGTTTATTTATTTTATTTGTATCTTATTTTATCGACCATTTTTCGATTTATTCGTGTCATGCTTGCGCTGGGGCCATGCTGATCTTCTCTGTATCGTGCCAATTTTAATGGATGTGTCCCCAAGGACGTACCACTTTATTTTCCACTTTATTTTCAATTGGGACGCAGGGCCCCTTTCCCAGCACGAGTTGCTCCCCACCAATAGATTGGAGCTTCTTTTTTTTTTTACTTTTTCCTTAATTTTATTGGAGCTTCTTCAACCCCCAATAAAAAAACGGGTTATGTAAAAAAAAAAAAAAAAAGGAGTCACTCGGTGTCTCTCTGCCAGACCGTGCTCCCCACAAACTACAGAGGTTACAGGGCAGCGCATCCCCCAGTGAGTCATTTCTGCAGTCGGCGGGTCTCGAACCCAGCACCTATCCCAGTCCAACTCAAGCATGCAACCACATGAGCTCGCCGAACCGGCCAGCACACTGTGGTTAATCAGGTCCGGCTTTAACCGACCCCGTCTTCACCCGAATAGAACGCCCGGTCATTATAGCTGTATTTGGGGCACCTTGCAGTCTAGAGGTCCGGCTTTAACCGACCCGGTCTTCACCCGAATAGAACGCCAGGTCATTATAGCTGTATTTGGGGCACCTTGCAGTCTAGGTCCGGCTTTAACCAACCCCGTCTTCACCCGAATAGAACGCCCGGTCATTATAGCTGTATTTGGGGCACCTTGCAGTCTAGAGACAGAGCTAATGCCCGGGCGTTGTATTAATCGGTTCCGGCTTTAACCGACCCATTTTTTATTTTTATTTTTTTTTGTGCATAAAACACCCATGGCCGGGAACTCTACTCGCTGGGTGTACAAGCCCCAGCGAGTAGATAGCGGCGGTTTAGATGGCTCCGTTCTATTCGTGGGGAGCTGCACCTGCTGGAAAAGGGGTCCAGCATCCCATACATCAAAACTATCGAAAACTTAGACAAAAGAATGTGTCGACTCAACTGTCTCCATCCTTCAATCTCCTCTTGACAGTCGGAACTCATCACTGAAATGGACCTCTGCGCCTAAAGGTGCCTGATTAGATTGATTTGCTAGCCCATGAGTGACTGGGTCCGTTTGTTAACCTTATTAGATGTAAGTAGGATGAGCCCATCCAAGTCTAGAATGGATGTCGGTGATTGATTGATCAAACTAGTTCTTTTCAAAGTCTGAACAGGCCTGCACCAGAACTCCTCTCGTGACCCTCAGGGCGGCAAACCAGCCCCGTGACTAAGATTCACGGGGGCCTGGGGCCCATCAACCGTGGTTCCAGAACAATGCCTGTAGCTTCTTGTCTTCAGAAATCTAGCGCTCTGACCCCAGGTTCGGAAAAAGTGTTCCCTGGCGGCTTTCCTGGAACGTGCTCTTCTGGCCCGTCTCCAATCTGCCCAGACCAGGGAACGAATCCCTTCCAGGACCATGTTCATGATGGCAAAATCAGAACAGAACTTGGATCTAAAGATCCTATCATTCCTTAGCTTCCAGTTTACCTGCATGATGGCCGCTCTGCATGCATGCAACACGTACACCCACCCTTTTCCTACCTTTTCCTCATTATGGATAATGCCATCCAGAACCAAATTATCGTCCCACTGTACCTGGTCTTCTACATGTTTGAGCCATAACTTAGCCCACCAAGCCCAAACTCTCTTGGACTCGGTACACCCCCACCAAAGGTGAGTGGCAGTCTCTTCCGACCTTCTACATCTTTGACGTTGTGTATGCAGTTGCATTCTGTTTGCCGATAACCAGCTGGCAGAAGGAACAATGCGATGGGACTGGAGCCAAGC